GTGTGTGTGTGTGTGTGTGTGTGTGTGTGTGTGTGTGTGTGTATAATTTCAGGTAAACTTTTGACATGAATAATATTTATTCTGAGTGGCTGAAAGGTGACAGCTGTTACTGAAGGGAGAAAGTAAACCACACAACATATACAACCCTCTGTAGGTTACTAGATGTCTTAGCTGCAAGGAAAGATCCACGTGGATTATTGGGAGATGTTTTGATAAATGGAAAACCTCGACCTGCTAATTTCAAATGTACTTCTGGTTATGTCCCACAAGTAAGTGTTGGTGGGTTTGTAATTTTAGATTTCCTCTGCCTCTGTATGGTTAGATGCTCAGCTTGTAGATTTGTGTGTTTTCAGTTCATTATATGACACATTTATAGGCCCAACTTTCTCTATACCAGCTTTTGCTAATGACTCGTTAGCCTGAGACTGACATTATTAAATAGAAACAAGAGGAGGGATTGAATATGACATCTATGGTAAAATATTAGTAATTGCAGCTGTGATTTAATTCTACAAAGGACTACTGTTGTCTAACCTTGCCCTTACTCCATCTTTCTCCACCGCTTAGAAGATGTTTTCTGAAAATAATTGCAGATAGCAGTCACCAAAATCCCTGAACTCTACTTGGAAGGCAAATGGGAGGGGGGTCAATGTTATTTCATCAGGCTTTCTACTAGAAATTAATAACATTGAAAGACTATTTTTAAGTAGAACATTACATTGGGTGTGCTTTACATGTGATTAGGTTACATATATTAGAGTGATGGTGTTACTGATAACTCTTTGCAATAAAAATTCCACTCAATCTTAAGAATGACATGGTGATGCACACAATGACCGTGAGAGAGAATGTAGAGTTCTCAGCAGCTCTTCGACTTCCAATGTCTATAACGAGAGATGAAAAAAGAAGACGAATTAATGAGGTCCTTGAACTTCTGCATCTGGATGAGGAGTCAAATGTCAAGGTAATGTGAAGAAAAATCTCGAAAGACTCCAAGCCAAGAGAGAGAGAGAGACAGAAAGAAATCCCTGTGTGGATAATATGACCCTCAGTCATCAGTTTCCTATAATGTGTGTGGTCTAGATGGCTGCTGTCTAGATTAATGGGTGACTGACTGGTTACAGGATGTAAAGTGGAAATTAAGCTGGGAAACCATCTTAGCAATGGTAAAGCCTGGGGATAGAGTGTAATCCAGCAGGAAAAATTGTTCCTCACATGGCCATTTCCATGTGTTCCTCACATAAGCCTACTCTTCCTTCAGCCTGAAACTGTTCACTTTGTAGAGAATTTGACACGGGCTTTATTCTGTTTCTTGTCTCTTCCCCTACAAGACTTGCTCCTTTGTTGTTTCAGATTGTATGTCTGGACTTACATAGGATGTGAGATGGAGGACTCTGGCTTTGTGTTTTACTCTGCATTCATTTCCTTTGGGGTTATACTTGGTCTCTTTAGCATTTAGTTTTACTTGTTTGGTGCCTATTATTTCATGTAGTCTTTCTTTCTGTGTTTTTATCCTATCCTGTCTGTGATGGTTAGTTTTAGCTGTCATGTTGACACAGTCTAGAATCACATGGAATCACCTAGCAGAGTCTCTATGAGGAACTGTAGTCAGGTTGGCTTGAGAGCATCTCTGTATGTGATTTTCTTGATTAAGTTAAGTGAGGTGGAAAGACCCAGCCCATCATAGGCCGCACTATGTAAAAAGTCATGACATGTAATCGATTGCAAGAATTTTAATATAATTTTTATTAATTAAATTTTTTTCATTTATTTTACAACCCAATTATAGCTTCCTATCTCCCCTCCTCTCATTCCCCTCTCCCCCTTCCTCTGTTCCAAAAAGGACAAACATGCCACGGGTGCCAACAAGGGATGACATATCAAGTTGAGGTAGGACTAAGTTCCTCTTGTATTAAGGCTGGGCAAAGCAACCTAGCATTAGGAACAGGTTCTCAAAAGCCAGACAAAGCACTAGGAACAGGATCACTTCCCACTGTCAGGATTCCAATGTGTATACCCAAACACACAACCATCACGCATATGCAGAGGACCTTGGCTGATTCCATGCAGGCTCCCTAGCCATTGGTCCATAATCTGTGAGCTCCCATGAGCAGGCCAGTTGCTTCTGTGGGTTCCTTTGTGATGACCCTGACCCCTGTGGGTCATATAATCCTTCCTCCCTCTCTTCAACAGGAGAGGATTCCCCAGGCTTGGCCCTGTGGATCTCTGCATCTGTTTCCATCAGTTGCTGAATGAAGGTTCTCCTATTCCAAGGGGTAGTCATCAATCTGATTATAAGAGATGGCCAGTTCAGGCTAAATGCCATAGCACACTCAGGGACTTTGTTAAGGGTCCATTCTTTCTTCCCACCCTGTTTTTAAGGCAGGGCCTGTCTTGTTCTGCTAATGGCACACATGTCTGATGCTTCTGATCCCCCTCCCATCTCACTGTAATCATTTATTTATGGAATTACAGATTCCTGCCACTGCATATAGCTATTTTATGGGGGTTCCAGAGATTGAACTCAGGCTTCCAGCTTGTGTGGGACGTTCATTTCACTACTTAAACTTCTCTTCAGTCTTTCATAAGATTTTCATTTAAGAAATGTAGGGGGAATATGTGGTTACGGTAAAAGTTTGACTGTTATGTGGCCAGCATAATAATATACTTGCTAATAACAGCCTCCTGGGCTTCCAAGTGTTCACAATAGCAACTCACTAAAGCTGTTTCTCACTTCAGCATTTTAAAAGAACATTAAGTAGTATCTTACTCCTGAGACTTAATTACTTTTCATTTATAAAACTAAGGACATCTGCTTATCTATAAACCCTATTTGTAACTATCCAAATGAATAATTCCTTTATATCCTCTGCCTTGTCCTGACCACACTCACCCACATTCCTCAAACATCCTTTGTTGTATGTTATCAGTAGGGCTGGATCATTGGAGAGAATTGTTTCCTGTTCTGTGTCCCCCTAAACCTTACTATTCCCTCTTACCTTATACAATGATACTGCTACAAAGACTGTGCAAACCTGTAGACTACACCAGCTTTGGATTTGTCTACAAGGATGAGTCATGAATTCTGTGATGTTGTACAGTGTAAATAATATAAAATTGCAATGTTGAAGTTAAAAAATTCCTAATAAGGCTGTAGCATTGTTGCTGGTGGCCCTATAAGGATACCCCTTTTGCGAGTGGTGCAAGAATGTACAGAGTCAACAACACAGACTCTCCGGAATGAGGAGAGTGACAGAAGCAGACTCATTTATTAAGGAAATTGGGCCTGACTCAATACTCCCCCTCTGTGTCCCATTGGCCCTTTAGACCTCTAGAGATGAGCTGTCCTTTCTCCAATGGCTCCACCAGATGTGTGCCTCTACATCAGCACTCTGTCAGCACAGTAGCAGATTCCAGGTTGGCACCAAGGGGAAGTTATTATAGCACATGTGCTTGGGGGCCCAGGTGGCCATGGCCCAGCCAGGGAGACTGGCTGCTTTCCTCCTACATAAGACATTATGGAATTTTTTTATAACAAGTAGTGTGTGCATGTGTGTGTGCATATCTGTGTGTGCCTGTGTGTTGTGTGTTGTGTGTATGTTGTATAGTGTGTGTGTGTGTGTGTGTGTGTGTGTGTGTGTGTGTATGTGTGTTGGGAGGGTGTTAAATGACCACTAATTTACTAGAAATAACTTCATCTCCTGTCCCATCTTCCTCATTCCTTAGACAGAGATTCCACTCTGCCAGTCTGGGATTTTGTTAACTCATTGCCCTCAAATATGTGATTTGATAAAGAACAAACAGGAACTGTCATTGGCATGGGCATCATGTCAGTTCTGACCTGAGCCTCTTTCTACTCCCTTGGAAAAGAGGAACATCCTCCTTCTTCTCCCAGGTGCCCATACCCTGCTCATCAGGATAAAGATATAACAAAACCTTTTATTGCTGGAACCAGCTAGTTCACAAAATGATGATGACTGTGGTTGTCCTTGTTGATAATGATGGTTGTTGGTGCTTTAGCCTAGATCAAAGGAGCTCAGGAAGAGGACCAGTATAGCAATGGAGCTCATCACCGGGCATCCTGTTTTGTTCCTGGAAGACCCCACCACTGACTTAGACTTGAGCACTACTACTGATGTCTTCTCGGTCCTGAGAAGGTAAGTGCTGAAGGAACATTATTTTTATTCACTAAATACCTGGTCACTTGTGTGAATTTTGGTGTAGGAGATTCAGAAGTAAGCAACAGAATTTCTTTCTTGTTTATTAGAGGGAAACTTCAATTAATAAATCAAGAACAATAGAGAAAAGCATAGGGAAAGATGACTGTGGAGAACACCACTTTAAATAGCCAGTCTGCATAACCCTCAAGCATGTGACAAGTGAGCTGGGGGTGAGAGCTGTACAGAGTGCTGGGTGGAGGAAAACGGCATTTCCTTCTCTCAAGATAGAAGTCTGTGGCTGAAGTAGTGATAGAAAAAGTGTAAGGATTAGGTTTTTTGATTTTAAGATACATTAAGATTTCCAAACTGAATGAAGAACCCCAAGAACCATATAAGGGCTAACCCATTCCCATGACCTATGCTCCTGGCAGCAGAACTTACTGTTCTCTCTGTCTTTTCTCCTTTCCCCTGTTCCTTGTTTTGTTCTAACATCATGATCCATTGCCCTAAACACTCCTGCCAAAATCCAAGATCTCTCCATCGTTGTACCTTCCCAGTGATGAAGTCAACAATGGGGGCCTTGCCACCTTCCAATCTGTAGACTCCTCAGGCATCACCACTTCCCCTGACTGTCCCCTTTCCTGTCTACTTCAGGATACTCTAAGATCAAGTTCTTGTTCATTTTCCAGTATGGAATGCCTTTTCTGTTTGCCAGTGTATCTCATGCCATGGCGTGTCTTAGTGCATTGCATAGGATCATCCTAGGTGAGGTTTCTCCCAGTGTTCTGGGAGAACACTCAGGCCCTGATATGCTGTGCTCTCATTGGTCTCCAACACTCCTGGAGGTACATACAAGTGATGGAATACTTTCTAAACATTTATTTTTTTTGTGTGTGTGTCTGTGTGTGTAGCACACATGTAGATGTCAGAGGACAAGTCAAGGAGTTGACTTTCTCCTTCCACCAAGTTGGTTCTGGGTACTGAACTCAGGTCTTTAGACTTGACAGCAAGTTCCTTTACCCACTGAGCCATCTTGTTTGCTTGGCTTGAATCTTGATCATCTAATCAAGCTGTGGTTGCTGGGTTATATGATATGAAATTGCAGTTTTTCTTATTGTGATTAATAATAATCTGACAGGGAAAAAATCAGCTATTACAACATTATTCTGCCCTTGTTTCTAACAATTGATTGTCCTGGTGGAATTCAAGGTGTGCATTATCATGTCCAGCTTTCTTACTCTCTGTTCTTCTTTCCCTTCTTCTTCCCCTTCCTACCTTCCTTCTTTCCTCCATCCTTCCTTCCCTCCCTCCCCCTCTCTTTCATTCATACTTTCTTTTGTCTTTTTGAACAAAGACCTTGATCCTCCCAAAGGCAGAGATATTACACATATGCCACCATATGCATCTTAAATGAAAGTATTTTCACAGTAGTTTTAAGCAGTTTTTGGTTAAAAAAGAGAAGATAGGACATCCTGAAATGTTAGTTGAGCTTATTTTTCCTATCATGAGATTAAACCAATGATGAAGTCCCAGGCTTGCCCCTCACTAACTGTGACCCCTTGGTCTTTTGCTTGACATTCTAACCTTTATCAACAGAAAGGGGAAATTATATTAGAATAGCTTTATGCTGATATTGTGAAGATTGTAATGAGGTTTATTGCTGAAGTGTTAGCAGAGAGAGCAAGGCTAGGAATGTGAATCACATTGTCAAAACAGTGAAAACCACTTCCTGATGAGGAAGAAAGTAAATGATTAGAGGGAATTATGCATACAATCATAGTTGTAATATTTGCTCTGTTATTGGTTCTGAAGCTTCAGTGAACCTGTCCATAACCTGGGCTGCTTGTTCATGATTTGGACTCCTTTCACTGACTCCCAGATATTCCCACTCAGTTCTAGAAGACTGCCAGTGATTTTCATTGTCAATAATGCTTGAGTGGATCCTGGACTACTGACATCCCACACTTTAGTAGAACTAATCTTTTAAATAAAAGCTTTAGCCTGGTTTCCTATCAGGTGTATGATACAAGTGAGATGAGGTGTTTTTTAAGGAAAATTCAAACTGAAATGGGAACAAAGAATATAACTTGGGGAATAAAACATTTTGTTGAGAATGTCAAGGTTCCTCTGTGCAATGACTTACAGTTTTTTCCTCTTTAAATTTAGGATGTCTAAGAGGGGACAGACAATTATCTTCTCCATTACTCAGCCTCCGTATTCCATCTTCAGATTTTTTGATACCCTCACATTAGTGGCCTCAGGAAAAGTCATGTTTCATGGCCCTGCACAGAAGGCTTTGGAGTACTTCACATCTGCAGGTATGATTGACTTTTGCTGTGAAAGCACCTTTATTCACAGGATCTGGGAGGAGGACAGAGGTTCTCAGGAAAGCAGCTTGACCCTCATGCAGACATGCTGTGTATGGGTTTCTCCATTTTAAAGACCTTTGGTTAATGTGGTGACAGGACTCTTAGTTGTGAGGCATGGGCTTGTTCAGGTCTCTCTTATTTCTCCTTTCCTGTATCATGCCTGTGTTACAGTATTTTTACTGAGCCACTTGCTCTGCTTTGCAGTAGTGGTGACCTTCTTGATTAATATGCTGGCACCAGGCATAGTTATCCCTCAGGGAAGAGCTTTGGAAAGGCCCAGTATCATTATGTTCTTGCTCACATAGCAGATGGTGGTTTTCAGTTTTCCCTTAGTTTGATCTGACTCTGAGGAGCTGGAGATATCACTTAACTTAGTAGTAACTTTGCATTTCATTTCAGGTTTAGAGAATGTTGGAGGCTATAGAGGCTTAAGTCTGGCTTTTGTGACTCATGTTGTTATTCTTCCTGGTTTGTTTTGAGTCAGATTGGATGATGAAATATCTTTTAATGGTTCATGCCATCAGTTTTATTTCAGCAAAACATGGATATAGTTATGGATGAATCTCTTGACTCTAAATATAGGGTTAAATATTTGCTGTCCATCAATCTTTGTTTTTGATTAATATTTTCAATTAAAAATATGTGAACATTTCTGAGTCTATAGAGTCCAATAAAAATTTAGACTGGGTTCAAATGATTATTTCTTTGGAAGAATTCATATATGTGTGTGTTCTATGTCTATGACTATATCTATATTTGTTAACTATTTCTATGTCTATGTCTAGTCTATATCTATGTCTATGTGTAGCTAAGGCTATGTCTATATCCATGACTAGGCTATTCCTATGTTTAGTCTAGTTCTGTTCTAGTCTAGTCTATTTCCAGTCTGGTCTAGGTCCATGTCTAGTCTATGTCTATGGCCATATATATGTCTAATCTATTCCTATATCTACTCTCCATATATGTCTAGTTGTCATTGTCTATATCTAGTCTATGTTTATATGTAGTCTTTGCTATGCCTATGTCTAGTTTATATCTTTGTTTATGTCTGTGTCTATGGCTATGTCTACTCTGTCTATGTCTATATATTGTATGTATGTGTATATGTATCTATACCACCAAAATAAATATGTACATGTATACAGTAGGCTGGAAAAGAGAGAATGCTGAATAGTATGAGTGAGTATATAATAGGAAAGGATAAATTAGTGGGGGAAGGACAAGAGGAGGAAGAAATTCTTAGATTCTTTCTCCTCTACCCTTTCCCACTCTCTGAAAGAGGGTCCTCAGGTTTGTGTTCATGGCCTATCTTCTTTGTAGGTTACAACTATGATTCTCTCAATAACCCTGTAGACTTCTTCCTGGACATCATTAGTGGAGGCTCCTCTGCTATATTAGACACAGAGGAAGACTGCTATGAAGGTATGTGAGACTTCTAGAGTCACAGATTTTTGTCTAACTGATTTAATTAAAACACAACTATAAGTCTTATTAGATTATAACTTTTTATGTTTATTAACTGTCCTAAATTAGCTAATAGACATTGTTGTCAGTTTAGTACTAGGTGTTTTTACTTAATTTATGAAAGAACATTTATATGATATTGTCACGGGGAAAATTTCTGTTTAAAAACAAATGTACCTGTTGTTTGTTGTATTATTCTGTTTTATAAACTATTTATTCTTTTAAATTTCATTTTGCATCCATCCATGGTTCTCTTATATGTCTTTTGGACATTTGAAATTCTTCTGGTAAGAACTCTCTGTTTAATGCTGTGCACCTTTTTTGCAATTGGGTTATTTTGTATTTTGATGTCTAGTTTCTTGAGTTATATATATTAGAGATCAGCTCTCTATCAGATGTGGGATTGGTGAAGATCTTTTCTCATTTTGTCTTGTTGACTGTGCCCTTTGCCTTACAGAAGCGTCTCAGTTTCAGGAGGTCCCATTTATTGATTGTTGCTCTCAGTGTCTGTGCTTTTGGTGTTATAATCATGAAGTAGTTTCCTGTGCCAATGTGTTCAAGGATACTTCCCACTTTCTCTTCTTTCAGGTTCAATGTAGCTGGATTTATGTTGAGGTCCTTGATCCACTTGGACTTGAGTTTTGTGCATGGTGATAGATACGGATATATTTGCAATCTTCTGCATCTTGGTATACAGTTATGGCAGCACCATTTTTAAAGATGTTTTCCTTTTTCCATTGACTTCTTTGTCAAAAATCAGGTGTTCACAGGTGTTGTGTATTAATAATGTCAGGGTCTTGGATCCAATTCTATTGATCCACCTGTCTGTTTTTATAGCAATATGAAATTGTTTTTATTACTGTAGCTCTATAGTAGAGTTTGAAGACAGGGATGATGATGCCTCTAAAGGCTGACAGCCAACATCAAATTAAATGGAGAGAAACTCAAAGTGATTCTACTAAAATCAGGAACAAGACAAGGCTGTCCACTCTTTCCATGTCTATTTAATATAGTACTCTAAGTTCTACCTAGAGCAATAATACAACAAAAAGAGATCAATGGCATAGAAACTTTTGGAGGTGTCAATATTAATGACTTGAAACTCTACTATAGAGCTATAGTAAGAAAAACAGCTTGGTACTGGCATATTATTTTTGTTACTGTTTTAGATATGGTTTCTCACGTAGCCAGACTAGACTTGAATGTGAAGTCTTTCTACCTCACCTCCCAAGTGTAGGTATTACAGGGCTATGTCACCATGCCTGGCTTTGTTTGTAACATTTAAACAAGATACTTGATAGTTTATATATTTGCATATTCATATACATGAATTTGCATATACATTCATATTTGCATATGCATTCACATGTGCCTTTTTTTGTAATTTTTTTTATTAGTTCAAATTAGGAACAAGCTTGTTTCGCAGGGGCCCCATAGAGTGCGGAGGCCTCCTAATTGACATCCATGTTCAGGGGTCTGGATC